GTCTCTAAGAATGAACAAAAGAAGTTTATATCAATTAAATTAAATTCATAGAGTAACTAGGCATAAAGTTAACAGCCATTGATGACAGACCCGATTGAAGAACAAACCCTCAAATGTATTAGTGCTTACTTTTACACCAAAATAACTACAGGTGGGGGGGTGTAACAACACTGCAATTCAAGTGTATCAATGCTTACTTTTACACCAAAATAACTATGGGTGGGGGCGTAACAACACTGCAATAGTGTAGTTGAATTACTTTGAACATGATTATATGCTTGCTTCGTGGATGCAGAACCAGTTGTAAGTGAAAGCATCATGCAAGCCAAGCACCAGCACTTCCTATAGTGAATCCATTTTGAGTTGAATATCATATTGGACATACTGCATCCTTCTTAGAATTTTGTTGTGTAGTTTGTGTATCATATGGGGGTTTCGTGATTCCTCCAAACCATAGCGGAATTTACTGTGATTTACAATTAAGCAATTATCCAATGTTTAATTACATTAGATGATTCATATCATGCACTAACTTAGTAATTAACTAAATATGTACATTGAATAATGTTTAATTACATTAGATGATTCATATCATGCACTAACTTAGTAATTAACTAAATATGTACATTGAATATGTTTTTGAGGATTAGGTCTCCCGATATCATGCACTAACTTAGTAATTAACTAAATATGTACATTGAATATGTTTTTGAGGATTAGGTCTCCCGACAATTAGTCTAATTTGGTACTGGTCACTCTTAAAAATGATGTGAAGATCACCTGCTGTGGACTTTTTGGAGCATGTTCATACCTAACACATTGGTCCCGCAAAGAACAATCAATAGGTGTGGCTCCACATTATAGGAAGGTATTTTACCTATAAAGTTTACAGGTAACTAATACCAAATTGAGATACTTGCTAGGACTGCATCCTTAAAACACTAGTTATTAGTAATTTAGTATGAAGATAATAATATAATGTTATATTAATAGACTAAATATTCATTTTGATCTCTATTCATATCCCAGGAGTCTTCATGGAAGGAATATAGTAAGCGAGAGACTATATTTGGTCCACACACTGATGCATCCAATTCCAAATATCAACCAGGTCAGGTATCCCAGGATCGGATTGCATTCTTGCTATCTACACTAAAATAACTAAGAAATGGATAAAAAGTCATACCACGAGGTGAAATCTTCATCCTGACAAAAGTTTCTTGCTCAGGCTCTCTTCGGAGAATATCAGCAGTTACAGGATCGGGCTGGACACCATGGAGATCACCAGATGCACTATGTGATCTGATCATACTAGTTGAAGGTAATGGATTATTATCACCATTTGCTCTGATATCATCTGGCAAGTCCTGAAATAGAGCTCTTAATTTTATGCCACTGCTCACAGTAAATTCACGATATTTTCAAATATAATCCACATACATTAGTCATCACAAACAAAGCTAACACAAAAAGTCCACTCCACTGACAGCAGTAGGTCAATAACAAACTTTGCAAAGATTCAACTAAGTAAAAAAAGAGTGGCATAGACCATTTAGGTACATACTAGCACGTGTTGGATTAATTCAAAGATATGGAAAACTCATGAGCAACATCATAAGGCCTCATTCATGAACAGAAACCAGTAACATCATATTCATAACCACCACCAACTAAAACTAAAAAAGAAAAAATGGATAGATGACAAAACAGGTTAAGCTGCAAAAATTTTGTATAACAAAAGGTAGGTACTGTTGAAGATTCTCAAGATAATTGTAGGCTAAGAAATATATTTTTGCCGATCTGGATAAAACCAAAGGCACAAAGCATCCACAATAATAAAGTTAATGGATAAGGAAACAAAATGGGAGGGAAAGAAAAACCAGCAGCTACCAACTGAGCATGATGATACTGTTAATGCTTTAAAGGGCATCAAATGATTAAAGTAGACATCAATGCATGATTATGTTACTATATGATGCTGTGATGCATCACGACATCAAAAGTAAAATGGGAATTAGGACCTCCAAACAGATGTCTTCAGTCTGTGTTATAATCACTGATCTCGAGGCTGACACCAATTTATCTCTTTGCTACACAGGTAACCCAAATAATGAATTCGGTGGTTATGCAGCCAATGTTATAGGGGGACACAACTGTGTGTGTGTACAGGTAGTGGTGTCTGCAACTTTGTAAAAGGTAAGATATGGGGACATGACTATATATATATGTGTGTGTGTGTGTGTGTGTGTGTGTGTAGAATATTTGGAATTAATAATTTTACATGATCAATATTGCCTTTTTATTTACATGTTATGGGAACTAAATTTTCTATAATATTTTTATGTTTCTCTTATTATGTAGATTATAAATTGAAAAGCACTCATGTTTGATCTAGATACCCAAAAGACCCTCTCAAAACAATAGTTATGAACTAAGTATAGGCTGCAACAAACCTAACCCATGTCCAATGAGTTTCAGAAAGTATATGAGAATATTTCGTCCAATAAGGGTATGGTAAATGTTTTAATTTAAAAGATGTATTATACATTTGAGTATGCACCTGGATAAATGTATGCATATATAAAAGGGGAAGTGTCAGTGTGGGTATGGGTACAAATGGGTACAGGCACGTCTTCAAGAACAAGTACCCAAATAATATAGTCGTCTACTAACCATATGAGATTATTGAATGGTGTGCATATGTAGCAAAACGACAGATTCCTCGCAACAATCTAAAAGAGGGTTTCTGTGGGCTTTATCTGCTATATATTTACAAAATCCCTCTGCATGGGAAAAAAATGGAGATTGACGGCTCATGTGCTCAAATGAGCTACTAAGAAATAGGCTAGTGATGAACCAGTTGCGAAGAATAAGAATTTCTCTCACAAGCTCACACATAAACGAATTAAGAGTTTTCTATTTGAAATCTCTTTGAATTTGCTCCATATTCCAAACTAAATGACCTCTAAGCGGCAAAACGTAAACCTCTTCCATTAAGGCTAGTAGCAGCTTATAAGAGTTGGGAGAGACCCATCTTTCTTTTCTCGTTGGAGGACATTAAGGAGCAGGTAAACCTCGCTCCACATAAATAAATCGAACGTTTTTTATTTGAAATCTCTTTTGAGTTTGCTCTGAATTCCAATCTATATGAACTCTGGGCGTTACAAAGTAAACCTCTTCCTTAGAGACAAGTAAACTTTCAAAGTTAGGGGAGACACATCCTTCTTTTCACATTGGAGAACATTGAGGAGCAGGTAGAACTCGTCACTCATATCTCTTGGCAGCTCCACATTAAATAAAGAGACATCTCATATTTAGCATCTCATACATAAATACATGCATTGTAAATACATATATAGGTAGTGCCTAAAATGTCAGTCGATATATCGGGTTTTATAGCAGCCCGCAACGATATTTACAGGTTTGTAGCTTTTTCTAATTTTAAATTTTTTTCCTGACGATATTCGATATATCCTGATATACGCGATATCGACCGATATTGGATTTTTTCCGTTTAGGTTTTTTCTAGGTTTCGATTTGGTTTTGGGTTTCCAACCTGACTCAAATACCAAATAAACTTCAGAAATCACAATCGAGCTCAAAAAATCCTAACCCTAATAATTTCGGCATTCACCTCTCTCTCTCTCTTGCTCTTCGCCAGTAAGCTCCCTCTCTTTCCGGCCCCTCTCTCCCCCTCTATCCCTCTCCCACTTTCTCTGCCCTCTCTCTATCTCTCTCCTCTTTTTTATCTTCTCTTCCTCCACCTCTTTCTTTGTCTCTCCCTATCCTTCTAATCTCTCTCTCTCTCTATGCCTTTTTTAATATTATGTACTTAGAAGGTTTCATGATGCAATTAAGAAGAAAGCTTTTACAATCTGTTAGTCATTCTAAAGATATATTATGATGCAACTTCTTCCGTTTAAAGATTATTAAATATGTTTAAATTACATATTAGAATATTATAATAGGCATGAACATCATTCAATATGTCACCCTTATGTTTACTGAATATCCCTGATTTCTGCAATCGGATATGGATTTTGATCGTTGGGTATTTACGCAATAACCGATATTTAAAACAATGTCACAGGTATGTAAATGTACGCGTGTAAATATACACTCATAGTACATACATATGTGTATTATTTCTATCGCTCACCTCCAATGAAATTTCTAATATCTCTAATATGTTCCCAAAATACTTTATTCTACTTTTGTTAGTGCAATAGGAAGGGATGAGATCAAGATCAAATAAGCACTTCTCCATAAAGATAGGGTCGGTCTATGGAGCAAGATTTTAAATATCAGATGTCGGCGACATGTTAGATGGCTAAAATCCATGTTGAATTGTAAAAAACGAGAAATATTGGGTATATGTAGTAAATATTGGATTGTCATATCAAACGGTGTGCATATATAATATAATATTTTAAATGCAATCTAGACATACTTAATAAAATATATAGTTTAAACATACAAAATGTAAATAACATATGATCTTTAGGATCACTAACCAATTCTAGAAACTTACTTCTCGATTGCAAGAGAATGTGAGCAAAAAGGAGATAAAATGAGAGAGAGAAGACAAACAAAGAGAGATAAAATGAGGGAGGCCCCAAAATCCTTCATCGTCGAAACCTCAATCCAATGTCGAAATTTGGCGATGAACATTCAGTCAATTTCTCCCTAGAGTGGAAGTGACTGAGAAAGATTGAGCAATTTATTTTTAGGGCACGATTTTGCTCTAGATTTGGCTATCGGGGTCTTTAACTGAGAACGTAACAATTAAATAATCAAGTTTGGATTTTGAGTTCTAAACCAAAGCTCAAAAGAGCAAGGTCTTAAAAATCAGCATAGCGGTTGATACTTGGAGGCCAACATATTGGTCGATATGTTTGACATGTCCCGATATTTTTCCTCAAAACGCCATATGACATCGGAAGTATGATATGATAGCATTAGAGCTCTCAAGCCGACATGTCAGCCGTCATGTCTGATTTGTCGACCCACCATTTAAAACCTTGCTATGTTAAGAGCTGAGAAAGCTTTATAAAATATGAGTAAGTTTTTACACCGCTTGTCTACCTACTTTCATAGAAAATCCAATGGTAGAAAGGTGAACTAGCATCATCATCATCATATATGCCATTCTTCCTTATAAATGGTGTCATCTAAGGTGCATTCCTAAAAGTTGAGAAAGTTCCACAAAAGAATTGACCAATCCTACCAAGTTCTAACAACATTTTGACAACCTTTTGTCACTTAAAGATACATATGATATAGTGAGCTAGAGTGACATGCATATCTCTTTATTGGCCACTTAGAAGGAAAGTGGACCATAAACCTACCTTTTTAATAAATGCAATTTAAATTAATGTAACCAAGAAATAAACCTTGAGTTTCCCTTGCCACTAGGGTATGGACAAATAGCTCCGATGATATGATTCATATACAACATTGTTTAAAAAATCTATTACATAACTCGTTATGTTGCGCTATGTAACCTAGCACGCCTTAAACGTAAGGTAACTTTGTGAAATAACTTAGACACACTATAACTCTACGTTATTACAATATAATATGTACTATTTCAATTTAACATGCTTTACTTTAATATGACTTATGTTATTCTAAAATAACTTCTAGATACTTGAGAATATATCCTTTCCTAAAACTTGAAGTAGTTAAGTAATTACTTCTGAATTGTTTGTTAAACATATATGTCTTGTTGTGGTAACATCATCATGTGATTGCGAAATTATGAACATGACTAATTAAACGAATATAATTATGAACGAGCTATAAATTTAAGATTACATCTTTGAGCATTCCATTGTGATACTTCCTGTTAAATCTATATAGTTTGTATCAAATTAAAGAATTTTTGATAAAATATTTGTGTATCATGGTATTTCGTTCCGTAATATTATTGTGAACATCTTTTATATTTATTAAAACTAAATAATAAGAAAATATTTTGATCCATTGAGATGTTATGTTTAAAAATTTTGATGATTCTAATTATTAAAGTCATTTTGAATAGTTTTTATTTATAAAAAAGTAAATAATTAATTAAAAAACCTATGTTATGTGTTACTTTTTTTACCTTTTTTCTTTAACCCCTAACAAATGGGATAGGTTTACGTTATGTGTTAATGTTATTTTCAACATTGGTATAGAAAATTGCATTCCTCTATGACCATAGAACAAGCTAAAGAGCCAAGGATACTGCATCCTTTCACAACATGCATGTTCCACATTACTAAAGTCCTGCAAGTATAGGAACATGACATTTATGAACAGAGATCCGTAGACATAATATCGCAGCCATAAGAAAATAAAAATGAACAAAGCATAAAAAGCCAAAAACATTCAAAATAATATGATTTTTTGACCAAGATTACCAAAAATATTCAGAGAGCACTAGACGGGACAATAAAATAATTCAATTTACTGATTATGTCTCAGATATCAAGGAAAACACTAAATTCAACTGAAGAAATGTTGGTTTTTGGTCAAAATGAAAGAAAAAGTTCATGAAATATCAAGCTCAGAGCCTCAGATCATACTAAAAGAAGGCCAAGTTGTCAGAGTAGAATTAAAGTGAGAAGGATACAGACTTACATGATTGCCATTAGCATGCAAATAGGAATTATCAAGGTTAACATCATTTGGCAGTTCATCGTCATCTGATCCCTCCACGCTCTCAAAGGCACTAGCCCCAGGTGACTTAGGTGAAATTGGTCTAATTAGATGTCCAGCTCTTTCGGTTGAATTTGCACATACAGATTCTTTACTGCCTGAAGCACGAGAAAACATATTTGTGATCCTACTCCTTGATGTCTTGTGTATACTTGAACAAATCTTGATAGATTAAATAAATAAATAAAAATAACACAAGTATTTGGGTGTGATTCTTTAAGTACTTATTCTGCATTATTTTAGTCATGGTACATTAATATATGTTCATTTACATTTGATCATCCTCGACCAGTTTGCTTTTACATTTCACTTTGAAGACTATGATTTAATTGTTACTCCTATTTCATTCATTTAAAGCAACTTTTGGCTGACAGAAGATCACGCTATTGTGCTACAGTCAGCAATGCAAGGAGCATGATATTCAGGCTAATGATGATCTCATTTTATAAAGAGATTTTGAAACAAAAAGTTTTTCTTAGGAAGAAGCTGTGGTCCTCTTGAGCATCACCTTTATGTATAACATATGAACATATCCTATTAGTTCCTCATAAACAAGTATAGCTATGTAGGCATTTCCTAGTTGGCTCAATTATGTTCTGATACATCTCCAACATCTTAATGTTCACAATAAAAAGACCAGATAACCTAACATCTAATTGTTCATAGTATATCATAAATACTATTTGAGCAAAATAAACATAGAGTTAGCCATCTCCATCTCAATAAGGGGAAAAAGCTGAAAAGTAGTTGGTCCATTTATATTAACAACCAATTTTGAGAGGTTTTATAGCAAAAATAAAAGGGTGCAAACATCCAGTCTTATTTTTTTAACAGTCAATAGTTTGTAAGAACAGAATAAATAAAGACTCTCTAAAGAAACTTCTTTTTATTATAAGGGATAAATTTTAAGTGTAATTCAACCTGAGTAAAAAAGAAAAGTATCTTCTGCACGTATTATTCGTCGCTATCTTATTTCTATTTGCATGCTGTTGTAATGATGCACCCAACCAACTCATTAGCAGTTAACTGCTTTTAAAAAGGCGAGTCCTTTATGTCTCAGGCTTTCAGTTAAAACAGAAGTATATAATATGATGGCAAAAATATAGATTAATGTTTCATAAATTTCATACAAATCTTTACAATCACTACAACATGCAATGCCTTGCTTTTTTAAGTACCTAGCATACTATCTTATCGCGGTTACAAATCTACTTACTTGTTCTCAGAAATCACTTCCAAATCAACACATCAAACAAAAAGATTAGTCAAGATACAATTCCATATTGAACACACACTCACAAAAAAACACATATATGAGAAATATTCAAAATAGACCCATTTGAAACTTTAGTCCCCACTTTTGATCCAGTCCAGAAATATTTACCAAAATCGACCCAATTTCTAGCCGCAGCCGCTGACGTGGCCCAAATTGGGTCGACTTTTGTAAATGTCTGTGGGCCGGGTCGAAATTGGAGAATAAAGTCTTAAATAGGTCAATTTTGAAACTTTCTCCTATATAAATTGTCCATTAAATTCTATCAGTTACAGTAGCTCATCAATTTCCCCCACTGTAATCTCTGTGAAAACCTAATGCAGTTATCAACCTCAACCAATTCTTCCATCAAGACAAGATTGTCCTCCTTCCCCCATCAAGACTAAATTTTGTGCCTACCGAAAGAAATGAATATATAAGTTGCCCAATCTTACAAAAGAAAAAACCTAACTTTACATCATGAACATGATTTTAATAACTTACCCCATCCCAATCTAATGCATCACAAGTCATTAAAACATTAACCTCTCCATCTCACTGAACATTCAACTACGACAAGAATCGATCGAGCAAATACTCTACCTTCGATCCCCGTGTGCAGCCTCGGCAACCCCGGCGGGATCCCCAAATCCACCAAATGCCCATTCGACAAAAACGCCTCCACCTCCCCGTCACCTCGCCCGCGCCGTCACGTTGGGCAGCGATCCGGCTCTTCCGAGACAGAGCTTTCCTGTTCGTCTTCTTCGTACGATCGGCGTCCTCGGGTCGATCCCGCTCCCGCTCGCGCTCGACGGCGCGGGCGAACTCGAGGAGCTCGGATAGGGTTTTGCGGTGAATGTAGTAGGCGGAGACGGCGACGAAGGAGGCGCCGACGAGCGCCGCCATGGCGAGATGCAGAGCGTAAGCGTCCATTTCGTAGAGAAATCTTCGGAGATTTTTTTTAAAACCCTAGAGAGAGAAAGAGTCCGTCTTGCGTGGAGATAGAGAGAGAGAGAGAGAAAGAGAGTACTTAAATAGAGGCGGAGGAGGAGGGAACACTAATAAATGGCAGCGAGCAGCTGGGGATCGCGTTGAGGTGAGGTGGGGGACGGGAGGGTTAATAAGTGGCACCAATTTTGAGTTTAATTACGGTATTGACACTAACGTTGAGGGTCCGGGTGCAAACGGATGCGGTTAGTGAGGGCATACCCAGGTACGGGTCCGATAAGATACCCGCGTACTAATGTCAAATAGTTCATCGAATGCGGGTAGGGCCCACGGTCCTCGGTTCGATGTTGTCCGTTTGGAGTGTGGAAAAGAAAGATGAAATCCGCATATATCTTTAAAGTTAGTCCTTCAAATGTTCCTATTAGATTACTCGATTCTTTTTAAAATTAATCTTTTCAATTAAGAGTAAAAGTAACAGTCTATACTTTTATACTTAAAAGGGGAATCAATGATCATTGTTCATATTACAGTAAATTCTATAGTGAATTACTACAGTATAAATAGTAAATAAAATTTGCCCTCTTCAATTGAAGCACATATGCTACAGTAAAGATATTGTAGTATAACGTAAAATATTTCCGCTACAGTATTAACATTTGGATCTTTTTTAAATATAGACATAATTTACAAATCAAATGTATTAAAACTTGGATACTTTTTTAAATATAAAGGAGTAAATATGAAATCTACATCAAATATATTAAACTTGCATCCTTCTTTAAGTATAGAGGAATGGATGTAATTTCTAATTTTAAGCATACAATAATCAAATCAAATACATTAAAATTTAGAGAGAAACAAGTTTAAAATACAGTGTTTAAAAAAACATGGGTCGTGTTTTGCACGGGGGTACACTAGTTGGAGGAATTATCAAAGTAAAATTTACTGTTGTGGACCACCAGCTCCTCCAATGCTCATAATTGAGCGACCTAATAGCGATTTCCATGATTTGAGGAATTAATTTCTAATTATGAAAGATTTAAGGGACTAACGTGGTGACTCATTTATGGTACACTTTATTAAAAAAGGTCTAATATCTTCTATTCTCGTAGGTGATGGTTTCACCTTTTTTCGGACCCCTCTTGGCAAAATTCCTAGCTTGGTTGCTAGGATTGCCAAGATTTTTTTCTTTGTATCCAAAAATAATAATAATAAATAGATCATTAGATTCTCTCTCTCTCTGTGGTAAAACAACAGAGGTAAACTCCTCAAGTAGGGGTGGATAAAAACTCTCTCTAGTAAAACAACAAAGGGAAACTCCTCATGTATGGGTGAATAAAAGCTCAATACAAGTTGAGCAATCAGAGCAGGTCCTATCTCAACAGGGTAGGGCCAGGATTGGAAACTTAGTTCATGATGATAAAAAGATCTAAAAAATGAGGGTCCATTGAATCTTTAATATTATGAATTAGTCTCTACAAGTCATTGGAACTTTAATATAAGGGGAAAATGCTTTCAGCCCCCAAATTCGTAACAAATATGCTTCCCCCTCCCAAGACTTTTTCAACGCTCTAAAAACCCCCAAATTCGTAATAACTATGCTCTGAGCCCCCAAAACACAAAGCCCAAGAATTTTACACAGGTAAAGACTATAATACCTATTCTCTCTCTCTAATATTATATTCATAATAACCATACAATCCCTCCTCTCTCCCTCCTCCTTCCCCCACCATTTTTGCCCTAGCCCCCTCCGTCTCTTCTGCAACCCTTGTGGCGGCCGAAGCTCCTCTCCGGTCTCACGCCTCGACCCCTCGCCTCTGCTCGCCGAGATCCTCCGTGTCCACCGC